GGACTTGTGCCTGTAGGACTGTTTAGGGAAGTGAAGTTAAGCCTTACAATAGGTGACACATGGAGATCCATTGAAAGGTAGCAACTGCCTAATAGAAGAAGCAACTTTTTTTTCATTTTTTTTAAAGTTTGAACCTTTTGTCCCAAGAAGTGATATTTCTCATATTTTCATTCTTTTGAGTCAGCTTTGGTAGCTGTTACACTATCTGAGAAATAATAATCTGAGGACAAACACCTTTTAAATTATTTTTTGAGGTGACTTTTAATTAGCAAATTGAAATCCAGATTTTGTTATTCACATCTAGCTTTTTTGTGCAGATTAACAATGAATTGACCATGCAGTAGTCAACCTTAAAACACTATGCTGACAAGTACATTTCTCTGGAGTCTAAAGATCTTGCACTGCTAGTGCTTCAGAAATAACTCTACTTGTTTTCTAATTTTAGTATTATTAAGTATTACTCATTTTTAGATACTCGAAGCACATATTAAAAAGATAAAAATATAGGAAAAAATAGGTATACTTACAATTATAGAGTTATTTTAGAAGAAGCAAATGTATCCTTAAAATTATGAAAGAATTATGCCATGGTTACATAATGATTTCTAAATGGTACATTTTAGTAAAAAGTCTAGGGCACAGAACAGAGCTTCATCCTCTGAAATTATTTAATACAAAGAATTCCATGGGTTGTTTTCTATAAAATGTCAGTGCCTTACCCCAGCCCTTAGGGTCTTTTTGATAATTTTTAAAAATTTAGTTTAAAAAAAAAAGCACAGCAGAGTACTCCTTCCTGGTAAACTCTGTCCGTGTGGCAGTGTGTGACTAGAAGCACCCAGTGCTCTGTCCTGCATGGTCCTGTGGCTCTGCTGACCAGGCTGGGCAGGGCCGGGGGCTCCCCGGGGGATGGCAATCTGCTGCCCTGGGCAGCCTCTGGGCTTTGGCAGCGTCTGACTGTCCTGGTTCCGTGTAAAAAGGGGTTCAGGGCAGGACCCACACGGAACAGAACTATGGACTCACCTCTCCCCCCCCAGAGAGAGAGAGACACTTTGGGAAAAAAAATGAAGTATATTGTTCAACAAGGAACAGAAAACGAAAAAGGGAGGTAAGGAAAATAATATATACAAAGATTTGGGGAAAAGTACAAAAAATAAAATATACAAAACCCTCAGAAATGGTTCCAGGGTCCCACGGAGTGAAAGGAGAACTTTCCTGTCCGAGCTCCAAGGCAGGAGTGAAATAAGAACCCACTCCCTGCCTCTTATCAGAGTGTGTGTGGGAAGGGGAGGGAATACAATGGTTTCACCCCCACCCGGGGTCCTCCCAGTTGCTGGAAGGTCACGCCCCCATTCCAAGCCTCAAACCACAACACTGACCACGGCCGCTTGGTATGAGCAGTGCTTTGTCTCCTCCTGTGCACCATCTGCAGAGAACAAAAAGAGCTTTTAATTTGTTCTATGCATGGGAATTCAGGTAGTTTTGAGACCCTGGAGGTTAAGAGGGACTCGAGGGTCTAACACTGAATCCTTCTGTAAAAAACAAACGACACATAAACGCTCAGTGGCCAGAGGACGTGTCTGGTGTGTCACTGGGCTCTCCTAAAAAAAATTGTACTAGGAAGGCAAGGATGAATCACTCTAACATACAGGACTCACAGCCCACCATGCCATTAATTCTAACATGTCATGAAAGAAAATGAGATGGTTTGCATCTGTAAAACAAAGAAAGTTGTCAAATTAAAGATGGTTATAATCAAATGAATGGATCTGAATGACTCATTTGAATGTTTGAATGTGCTACCTGAGGTAGATAAGGGAAGGAATGACTAATAACAATGAATTAGTTGAAAAGTAGCATAGATATAATTAAATTATAACAATTTGCTTGCTGAACTAATAATAACCATGAATTTTAATTAAGTATTATCCTGCTAAATAGACATGTAATTCCTATGAAATCATATACCACTGTCTCTATCACTAAATGCAGTTTTATGAATAATTATTATATGAATAATCCCATTAATTACTCATAAGTGATCCAAAATACACGGGACTAGATGCTGAGCTGATAGATATACATACAGCCATTTTTGGTGAGAAAAGCCTTGAACCTGTTCTCATGCAGGCCAAGAACCAGATCAGCTGTGAAGTCCCAACGGTTTTTAATGATCTGCTCCAGGATCTCAGAGGACAGGGTTGGTTTTAGCTGTTTTTGCTGTAGTCCAAGAGGAGTGTGTACTGCCAGGGCACATCCCAGCCCACCCGTGTTGACTCTTGCTGTGCTGCAGTCTCACATCTTAGGAGTCAGTGTACTACAAACCCAAGGTCTCAGGCTAATAATGCATGTGTCACGTAACTTCTGTGCAAGACAGGCAGCACAGCTAGGAATTAAAAGGAGGAATGGCAGCCTGAAGGGAGTCGTCCAGGAGAAGCTGCAGTGTCTGTGTGACACGCTGGGTGAGGCCGGGGATTCTGGAAGGCATCACAGGGAACAAGGAGGCTGTGATGCAGCTGATGTGTAGTCTGATGAGTGAAAGAGTAAACATCACGAAGGGAGGGAGAAATTTGTAGCAATGACTTTAAGAGGAGTATGCTACTTCACCTTCTGCATTGCTGAATTAATTCTCCTTATCATAACCCATGGGGGTTTGTGTTTTTCCTCCCTCTCCTTCCCATTCGTGGGGCGGGGGGCAATGAGTGAATGGCCACGTGGTGCTCAGCTCCTGGCTGCTCTGAGCCACACCACCGGGGACCCGCTCTCGGAAAGGTTCAGTCAGGGCTTGTCTGGACAGGGCCCTGAGCAACAGCTGCTAGCTCTGAAGTTAGCCCTACCCTGAGCAAGCAGACTACAGGCTTCCAGAAGGCTTTTCCATTATAAACTATTCTAAGATTCTGTGACATTTTACAGCGAAATAACTCCAGCTACTCTGTTTTGCTATCCCCTTTACATTTTGAGTATCTACTTTTCCCCCTTTCTTCTGTCCTCTCCATATATAGTCACTGCCTGCAGATAAAAGTAATCTGCTCTTACCCAGCTGAGAAAGGAGTCCCGTGCCCCTGACCTCCCCTGCAGAAGGAACCTGGCAGACAGGTAAGAGGCAGGTCACTCTGGTGCCCTCCTGCTCCACCGCCCTCCCCACCCCTCCCTCTGTGACTCCTGCCTGCTCAGGAAAAGCACACTCACCAGGGAAAGCTGATTTCCCGTTTCTGTAACACTCACGGGGCTCTGTCATTTGAAAGTAACTGTAGTACTGTGCTGTTTTGTCTATTATGCCAGTGACACTGGGGCGTGCTTTTGTTAAGTAAATCTTTCCTGAAGTGTTATTTACACTTTAAAAAGAAATGGCTGCGATGTGTTCTGATCACAGAGAACGTTACAGCTGCCAGCAGGCACCGTACTTGAAGTGACTGATTATGCAACATGCTAGTATGTGTGTGATGTATTTTGTATGTAAAGCTGAGTCAATGTCATATTATCTTCTTAAAATGGGGATTCTGTCTTCATAATATACATAGAAAACCACATACCCTTATATAAAATTACCTTGAAGTTGTTCTTGATTACTTACAATCAAATCTGTATGTGGTAAATTAATTTATGAATTAATATTAAGACAAATTCTGTAAGATTTTTTTTCTGAGAATATTCTTTAAACTAGCCCAGGTAATATTCTTGTCTATATTCTGGACTACTTCAACCCCTACTAGAATTCTAAGACTATGTAAAAAGGCTCTAAAATTCCTAATTCTGCATATAGGAAGGTCCCTAGAACAAGCCCTGCAAAAACCAAACCAAACTAAACCACATCTGTGAAACTAAGTTTTTGTGAAGGGAAAACCAATAGTAATAGTTTCCTAAAAAGTGAAAAGTTGAGAAATACTGGCAGAATACATCTTCAAGTATGCTTTATTTGCAACTGATTAAAAAGATTGTTTAGGCAAAAAACTAGTGAGTCTCATCCCATACACAACGGGACATGATTCAGTGCCTAATGCCAGACTGGAGAATGGGTAAATAGGGCTGATGATGCAGCTCTTGATGAATTACAGGTGATTAAATGGTCAACGTTCATATACTAAAAAGACTTGATACATACGTATGAAGAATTATAAGCAGTTAATATTTTAACCATAAGCAGGAGATTCTGTAAGAAAACAAGGCATGTAAGTGGATGGGAAAGTTGCAGGCATCTCAGTAATATCAGAAGCTATAGACTTTTTTTAAAGACATTAGCTTGGTCCTGCAAATCACTGCACTCTTGAGAATAGTATTCGCAATATAAAGCTTATCTCAAACACCATCAAAAGGAAACACTATTTCCTATTTTTTTTTTTAATTTATTTTGTATTAAGAATCTTGCAAAGAACTGAAATATGGCACAGCCAAGAAACATTAATTACTCACCATTTCAGAGACTTTGCGTTCATCACATTTAGATACTAGGTGTCTGATTTCAGAACATCTCATGCAAAATCCAGCTATAAAAACTCACCACAGAATATTCTCAAGGATAAAAAGCTAATGTTTTTTAAAGCTCTGACAGACATCTAGTTGTGAAGGTGAATTTTAAAACTAATGGTCCGCATTTTCCAGAGCACATTCAAAAAGATAGTTGTTGAACTTTCTGTAAATGTCCAGCTCTTATCTATACTTTGCATGGAATATTTTACCAAAGCTATGACTTTGGACAGCTAATGGAATATATCACTGTCTAGAGTAGTGCCAGAGGTAACATTATTATCTTTCCATAACTGCATAATGATAAATAAATAATCACAAAACAAATTCTTATTACGAAATGATTCTTTTTTCCTCGTGTACAATATATATATATTGATTTATATTGAAGTCCAGTAATACTATTACAGTAATGTGCTGTACTGGCCTTTCATAGTGAGAAAACTGCCCTAGTCATCTTAAACATGCAAAGCTTGGAAGAACCAGAAATTCACAGTAAGTAGTACAGTTTGTATATGCATCTTCTGCCGTTCTAAAGTTAACCAGAAAACTCAAGACTTGTTGCTTATTTTTCCTATATGTTTGACAAAAGCTACAGTTCTATAGACTGTACATTCACAGTGGGATCCCAGCCCCCTGTACGACCTGCAGGCAGGGTCAGATTGCCACTTTCCATCAGAGTAAACATTCTAGGATTTAAGGTAACAATCTTGTGAGCAGTTGTTCCCAGCTTGAAGTTCAGCAATTCGGGACTTGATAAAATTCTCCTTTGTGTCTCTGACAGGTTTCTCGCTAGCGCATTTTGTAGTCATTAGACACTGACATTTCACATAGCTGTCCTTTAAAATCCAGGTCTACTGTGAAGTCCAGGTCACGCTGTAAAAAGATTTAAACATGTAAGTAAGACCGTAAGTTTAGTGTATTAATTCAGTTACCAACACTTGGGTTGGAAAGACCTGCAGATCCAAGGGATACCCACTGAGGGTTCTAACCTACTTTGGTTTTATGTGTTGCTAACACTGAAAATGCAGGATATAGGCTGTGTAACAGCATTCACCATGCAGTCTATGTCTAGGGCATATTTCTGTGTTCTTCTGAAGGCTGCTACAGTGTCCTGGTTACAGCTAGGAAGCTTCTGAAACGCTGTGCTGTTGTATGTATTCTAAAACAATTTTTTAAGGGTATCCCATTGAGATACTCTTAGTCTAGGGTGAAGGGATTTCACACCAGGAGTTATTCCAGGACAGATCTAGTAAACTTCCTGTTGTAGAGAAGCCTTCACTCGTTCATTATGTTATGACATGGTTTTTGGAAAGAGACACTACATAGCCCTACAAAATGAAGCTGTCTCTCTACAAGCTTTCGAAAGGCTTCACGTTTCAGAAGAACAAAGCTCTAACAAAGCTCCTTTTGAACCAAGGTAGTCTCTCTGCCTTATGATAACTATCAAGGACATATTCATTTCAGCACCTAAATCTGCATTCAGGTGCTTACTGCTGTGCAAAAGAAAATATGAAATATTTTCTTCATTTTTCCATCCAAAGAAAATTGATGAGTTCAACCCAAAAGAAAACATTCCATTCTCTCAGGGACAAAATAAAGGTGGGAAACAGACTTTCCCTCTACTTTCGCCTCAAGTGGTAGGTTCAGGAGTGAATGTGTTTGTTTTAATGCCAAGATTATTTCGTTTTTTATTTCTTTCCGTGTACCAACACTACTATGAAAACAATATCCCATCTATACTCAGTACAAAAAAGGAAAAGTAATGCAAAAAAAGGAAGGCAGTGAAATGTCAAGAATTGCTGCAATCAACAAATGCAGTATTTCAACAATTACAACAACTGCATGGACAAATTATAACCAGGGTTATTTTAATGGCTGTATGTTGTAATGGAAAATGGAGAGATTCTGCCTAAGGTTTTTGGCAGAAAATGCTGCTACTGTTTCTACCAGAAGCCACACTTCTCACGTCTTGCTCTTCTGTCCAGGCATAGGTTGTCCATCAGACCATGCCTCGTAGTCTCCTTACAAGTTAAAAGAAACACTGAATAACTGACATACTTGGGGAGGGATTCAACCTGTAGCACATAAATTGAGGAAGTTTTCATCAGTCATGCTTTAGTTTTAGTCTTCAATAAAACCTGACGTATTTTCTGTGGAAAGCCACAATTTTTAAACAGCCATTTCACTTGATTAGTGAATTCAAGTACATGTGCCCAGGGAGTTGCTAAACCAGAGTTCCTGGGCACTGAGTGGGAAACCTGGCTACAAATGAAATACTTTTGATCATCCTGTGTTGTCAGAAGGGATCTTGCCACTGATTTTAGTGACAGCACAAGGAGACCCTTGCCTAATTGTGTCACAAAATGTGAGCCAAGCTGATTGCAGAGGGCACCTGACTTGGTCAGGCACTGGAATCACTTCTTCCTCTCTGTGCTAGCTGGTTTGCAGGCTGAGCTGTGTAACATTAGCATTGCATTATCATTGCTGTCACCAGCTTTGGCAAAGCTGTGATTAGAGATCTTACTAAAACCCATTAATTTAGAGCCTTTAGCATGCCCATTGTTTCACTTACACGCATTTTATGTACTTTTGATTACAGTTTGTGATCAAGAGAGCTGGAATTAGATTCACCGATGCTGACTCACCACATTTTTTGCATTTGGTTTCATGGATATAGTCCCATAGATTTCTTCTCCTCGTCTCACAGTTAAATAGTCCTCTAAGTAGAAGACAGTTTGCTTCCAGTGAGTATAGGGAGCATCAGGTGCTAAAAAATACGAGTGTTATTTATAGAAATTTCATCTTTGTCTTACAGTTCAGATGAAAACTCGGGAACAATTGGGAAAAAAAGCATTTCTTCTCATAGAATGCTTTAATTTATATAGTATATTAGCAAATGTGCTTTATAACACCACGATTCTATTGAATGTCAGTGGGTTGCCTTCTCATTTTTACTGGAATATGTCAGATGCCAATCACATCCAGCAACAAGGATTCCACAAGGGGGGTTACTGGGCATGATAAGTGCTGGTTTTGATGCTTTCCTTTCAACCCACACACATTCAAATTGGGAAAGTCTTTACCACAAAGTGCTTTGAAAGTCAGAAGCCTAAATTAGTTCAAAAAGCAATTACACAAAACCATGAAAGAAAGGTTCATCAAAAAACATTAATGGCAATGATACAGATGAAACGTTTGACTCATGATCCCAGAACATCAGATTTTATAGTTTCCAGGATGATAGAGCTGCAGAAAGGACACCTGCACCTTGACCTCTTTTTGGACTTTTGAAAAGCATATTCTATGGGCAATTTGCCACAGATGGATACTGGTCTAAATTAACTTCTATTCTTGCTTAGCAGATGCATTTTGATGATCTTCTGCTCTTTCATGTTTTTATTTTACTTACTTGGTTTCATTCCTGATTTCAAATCTTTGAGCAGTCCCTAATGACCTTGCATTGGTTATTTCATATTCTAGCATTATGCAGTTAAGAGCATCTAGGAATTTAAGAATAATTGTACAAGTTCAGAGACTTCCCCATCTGGAAAAAAAGCCTCTGATAAATTTTTTTCTCTTCCATTTGTTTCCCCAGTCACTATTTTGACTACAGACACAGGCTCACTGCAATGAATCATGCTAATTATATATAAACACCATTTAATAAAACAATGATCTAATTTCATTTCAACATCAGTGTTTAAAAAAAAAAAAATTTGCTTTAGAAATTGTTTGTGACTCGGGAAACAACAAAGCTTTTTAAAATAACTGTCAGGACAGTTTGGGGTTTGTTTTTTTTCAAAATTCCAGAATCAGAAGACCAACACAAACTTCTGTCAGAAACTGTTGGCAGGCTGCTATCTTCCAAAGGAAAAGTATTTTTCCAGATAATTTGTGGCTGTGAGTCTAAAACTGTGCCTAGACAGTTTTAATGACTGTTAATCTCAGTTGCTAAACGGAGAGATCTTGCAGTAGTTCAGATCCAGAATCTGTTTTCCATTTGAACACACCTCTGAAAAGTGTCTGACTGGAAGTGTGAGACCCAAACTGGACTGAAGGTCTGTTGTCCATCCTCACAGCTATCTTGTGCCCACGTGCCCGTGCCCTGGTCCTCCTTAGAAAAGCCTGACATGTCTGGAACGTTGTGCTCCGTTGACAGGGTGTTTGTGTGGAACAGAGGCACACCTGGGCCTCCAGTCCACTAAAAATCACACACTTACTTTCTTCAGAATTAAAAAAATGATATATCTACAAAGTGGTGCTTCCTCACATTCCAGTCTACCACTTTGGAAGGAGGGACAGGCTGCTCAGGACAGTACAGGGACTTAGGGCGTTTAGAAAGAACATTAGGGGGCAAATCTCAACTAGAACTCAGCCTGGCCACCACTGCAAGGGATAATAAAAAGTTTTTACAAAACTTTTAACAACTAAAAAAAGAATCTGGGAGAATCTCCATCCTTTACTGGATGTGAGGGGAACACTGCTACCAGGGATGAGGAACAGGCTGAGGTACTGAATGCCTTCCTTCCCTCAGTCTTTAACAGTCAGCCCAGTCACCCTCATGGTATTCAGTCCCCTGAGCTGGAAGAAAGGGATGGAGACCAGAATAATCCCCTCCTCATCCAGGAAATAGTAGTGAAGGGCCTGCTAAGCCAATGGGACACCCACAAGTCCATGGGGCCAGATGGGATCCCCCCAAGAGCGCTGAGGGAGCTGGTGGAGGAGCTGGCCAAGCCTCTCTCCATCATTTACCAGCAGTATAGGATCTTATATGGATAGAATAGATTTGGAGCAATTATCCTAATCTTTTCAACAGATGTTTCTTAAAATATGTACGTTCACATGCACACATAAAACAGAAACACATTCCACTGGCTCCTTTGCAGGAAGCTGCATTCTGAGTTATATAAAACACCTCTCATGGAGCTCTGGCAGTGTAAGCAGACCTCCTTTAGGCTTCAGTTAACAGCACAACATAGTAACTACACCATTCTTTCAAAGATATTTTTCATGGAAAACTGGAGGTTTGACTATGTTATCTTTTAGAAAAGATTAATGGTTTGCCTTCTGCTGAAAAAAACCAAATGCCTAAAACCTAACTTTTCCACCTTAGATAATTTTTTTCAGCATGAAATCAGAAGCATTAGCAGTTCAGGATACCACTGCAGTGCCTCACAGATTGCTCATGTCTCCCGAGCTACACTTTGCTTCCCAGCACATACTGATGCTTATCATGGTGTGGGAAATACTGTAGTACAACACATTTATAGACTAATCAGGAAAACATGGTTACTGAAAAAAGGAAGAATACAAGGTAACAAATAACATCATCCATATGGTTATAGTTCTAGAATCAAATACAAGTAAGTATTTTAGCAAAGTAATTTGAGCTTTGAATCTCGTGTAAAGGGTTGAGAGCTCCTGTGGAGGGAGAAAAGGGAGATTATGAACCATATTTAACTCACATCAAGTCCCACTTACACTTGTTTGAGTTGTGTAATGGTACTAACTTTAACCAAGCACCCACAGTAATTTGTTGTTCCTGTCGCTAAAGAGGTTTAAATGTTTTTACATTTCTTACAACACTGTCTATTCACCCCAGTAAACGGTGCCTTACAGGAATGGAGTTATTCTGTTAAGTGTCTGCACACCCGGGTAAGTCAGAGTTCCACATTTGGGTTGCTAGAGCTGATTTACATAAGCAGTATGTGTGGGGTTATATGTTGGAAGAAAATGATGGGTTTATTCTAGAATCAGACAAGGAGGAGCTTCTGTTGTGTTTTGCATTTGGGGGCAACTGGGATGCAGAGCTGCTGTCTCTTACTGAGCTCACAATTCCCTGTCTAACCTGAGAAACTGGACACGGGATTTACGGAAAGCTGGTGACGGGTGTAAATTCCTAGGTCATAATCCCTGCTGAGCTCTAGCCTCGACAGACAAGCTCAGATAGCTTGACAGTGAAATCCTGGCTCTTTTGAAGGAATTTTGCAGAATTCCTACAAGCAGCTGTCCTTTCCCCATCCTGCTCACCTCCCTCAAAATTAAAATAACCTTTATCACTGAAGTTCAAAGCTGGTGGTACCTCCCTGTACATCCATAGCACTGGTATATTCATAGAGTAGAAATGAAATTAAAAGAAATACAGATTACCTGTAGAAAATCCCATCTTCTTGTGGCACTTTGTAAATTCGATATTAAAATAGGTGACCAAGGCATGAATGTAATCATTACGCTGGATCTGGAGGCAGAATGCAGAAGTAAATGCCAATTCTTCAGTCTTCACTGTATAAATATCTACTTCCTGTTGTGAGGAGAAAGAAAGAGGCATTTACATGGAGATGTCTGTGAGCTTAGTTAAGTGACGTACTTAAGCATTTTATTTAATGATCAGCAACAAAGACAACTGTCAGCCCTTTAACACTGCAAGAAATCAACGGTACACTGGAATATATCAAATAATTAGAAAACGATCCAGTTACCTGACTAGACAGAGTGTGATAAGAGAGGCCAACTCACAGAAGAGCTGGGAATGGCAGGGAGGGGCTGCAGGAGTCAGAGGAAACCAGGGTAAGAACGTGCTTTGACAAATACAGGCACAATGGGTGTTGAAATGGAGATACAGGTTCCAGTTATAAGACCTTTTATCACTAGGGACTATCAACATGAGCAAAGATGGCAGAGTTGGGTTTTTAATAAAAATAAACTTCAGGTTTGTTTGAGCATCTCTGGAAGGAAATGTGCTTTGGCTATGTCAAGCATGAGGCATGACAGGGGTTTGCTTTCTAGATGGATGCCAGATAACTGATCCCAAACAGTAAGCATAAGTTCTTGATTTCTATTATATTCTCATAAGAATATTAACTCATCTAGTTCATGTTCTTGAACTACACAGAAAGAAATCTTGTAAATTAAACTATGGCCTGATTGCGACAGTTGGGAGCAATGATGTAGTCTCCAAGATTGCTTATTTCCATCATTATTTAAATCCTACTGTTCAAGGCTTAACCAGAGCTTTTTTAGATGGATATGATTCTTCCAGCAAAATATTGCTGTTATCTGTGTCATTTCTAAAACTCACAGTCATGATAGAGAGGACACTAAGTCTGAAATATTATTAAGTGCATTCTAATGCTAAGGGGAATTTTTCCTATTGGTGCACTAAATGTCTCTGCCTTTACTCTCCTTCTTGTCCTTGTCAAGGGCATATTAAGCAAGAGACAGATATCCCCAAAATATCTTTCACTCTATTATTTGGAAAGCCGTTGTTAACAATAAAACTGCTCATGCATACAGAGAAACAGAAGCTTTGTAGGCAAAATTCCAAATTTCCTCTTACTCTATCAACATAAGGCAGGAATCGTATCACTGACCTCACCAGCATTATCAGACTCACGCTGCAAACATGGAGAGCAGAACCTGGAGGGCTCTTTTAGCCTCTTCAGGGCACAGTATTGGGCTCTCTTAGCAATTGCATTCTATAAGAGAAGTCTGCAAAAACAGACATCAAAAGATGCAGCCACATTTCAGTTACTGAGGTCTCTGCATGGAACATGCATCATGTGTCTGAAGCTTAGAAAACTGAGCTGCTGAGATGATTTAAAGAGGCCATATTTTTGGCCTATCTGATTAGCAATATTGTTCAAGAATAACTTAACCACTGGGACAGCATTAAAATGGAGTTATCATTTGGGTTTGGGGTTGGTTTGTTTGTTTTCTCAAAATAATTTATTTTTTTAAAAAGCATACTAGGAATAAGAATTTGTTATGCTTCCTGGCAGGCTCCCACAGCAGCCTGCAAAATTTGACAGGCTAGACTGGACTGGTGGGTGCCAGCTGCAGGTTTCTGTAATATTTGGTGGCTATTTACTGGTATCACTGTGAGGAAATTGCGAATTAAGGCTGATGATAAGACACATAAAAGGGATCTTGCTCCCTCTCTCTGAGCTGTGTTGGCTCTGCAGACTGAAGCAGGATCAAAAGCAGTAGGAGCCATTTTTATTAGAGAAGTTAGTGAAAATGTTTCAGAAATATTGAACAGATGTGCTAGATAGAATGGTGGTCACTTTTGCAGTAGTTTTTTTAAGGACTGAAACATGCCTTTTTTACTATGCAAGATTTGTGGCAAATAGGGGGGTTACTAATTAATATAGTTTTGAAACTGGCCTGATCCTGTTTCAGTGATCTCTTTGAATTGTCCTCTGACTACTATATACTGTTATATTAAATGTCACTGCTCATTGAATGTTAACTACAGCTAATAGCATGAGGGACAAATACTATCTCTGCATAAAATAAGTGGAGAAGTCATGATTTCACAGATTTCATTCTGATTTTGAAAACAAGAACAAAATGGGCATAGTTAAGCATGGTCTCGTGAAAATGCAATTCTTAATTTCACTAAAAAAAAGAAAAAAAGAAGAGTAAAGCTGAGTAACAATGAAGTTGTCAGAATTGCCAGCTAAATGCGGAGGTCCAGGCTGAGGCACTGCAGGGGAGGCCACACGCCACCCCACGCCACGTGTCCCTGTTGCAGACAGACAGGTCCAGTGTTCACACGAAAGGAACGGTTCTTGGCTGTCCTCTGCCACCACCCCCTCTCCTGGTCCCTTTCCCAGGCAGCTTACTCAGCTATGAGCGTGTGAGCATGGAGGTAAGTTAAAGAATCAAATCTCAGTGAGTGTCTGGCTTTGGTGGCATTTTTTGTTCGATTGTTTTTGTTGTGTTTTTTTTTTTTTTTTTTGATTTGGGGTTTTCCTCCCTTTCCTCTCTCCATTGTACCAGCTGCCTTGGCTTGGCCAAAGAGGGAAACGGTCACCCCGTGCTGGTGAAGGCAGTGTCACAGCATCACTGCTGTGAAGAGTCACAGCAGGGGAAGGTGTGGACGGACGTCGAAGCTGGAGGACAGATGGCATTGGTACAAGCCTCAGGAAAACCATTGATCTGAAGGCTGAGAAGTAAAATTAATTGCTAGGGAAAGGAGAAACAGGCAAACCCTCTTTTCTGACAAGCACTGAGAAGATGACCTATATTGCCAACTGCACACAGACGTACGTGTGTGAGGGGAGCACTGAATGCAACAGTCAGCCCCTAAAACACATTCACTTTTCCAAAAGAAAAATAACTTTTTAAATTTTTTTTTAAGTGAAAAGAACTAACAGTATTCATGTGGGGAGAGAAGAAGCAAAATTAAATTAAGGGTGTTTCAGGGGAGCAGTGAAAGGAATAATGGAATATCTAAGATTGCTCTGACTAGATATTGCAGCATATATTGGTTTTCTATTAGATTAAATAATAGGGTAGCAAACATAGCTATGACTTATTAGACAGCAGAGACCTCATCATTCTGCCAGGGCCCTTCTTCTGCTGTCTTTTCCTGTTTGCACAGAAGGAAATGCCTAACACTTATTAGCGTGTTGTTTCAGGTTTTGTTTGGTTTTGGGGTTTTTTGGTGACAGTGGGGGAGTAAGTGGAGTTAGATCTGAGGATGCTGAAAGGAAAGGCTGCAGGGAGAATTGTTGGAAAGAAAAGAGCGACAGGGAAAGTCACTTAGGAAAGGGAAAGTAGATTTTCATGTGATGATAAGAGTAGAGAAGAAAAATAGAGCAGTTGAAGGAAGATGGAAAATCAGTGGCATAGGTGCCTCTTGCTTTACCTTAGGAGAAGCTGGGAGAAAGGAATGGGATTAGGGTGTTCACTGAAGCTGCAATGGAGCAAAACTCTTGAGGAATGCCTTGTCCTAAACCTCTTGGGTGAAGATTACTATGGAAGACCACGGGACTAACCAGAGCTCACAGACAAGTGCCTCACCTATGTGGCTGGGTCTCTAAGCAACAGTGCCTTTTTGCAGAAAATACTGCAGGTCCTTTGAAATAAGGCTTCATACAGGTGAATCATGATATTTCAAAAACAGTGGAAATTACTTAAAGACCTGGATATTTGAGCATAAAGGGTTTTGTTGTTAGTTTTTATTATGGCATGTTCTCTCACAAATAAGAATGTTTCACTTTTTTTTTTGTGTGTGTGTGTGCTGGGAAGGCAGTTTCTGCTTTAAGTGGGGTTCAGCTGTGTAATCTTAAAGTGGTGTGTGACCTGCAGGAGCTTTAAACTCTTCCTGGAAAGTGTGGGACAAATGGGAGCCTAAAAGTAGATTTATTTCCCCTCCACCCCCTCCTCTGTGGCTAGATGGGGTAGACCTCCAACCATAGTGATTCTATGGTCCTATGATATTAATGAAAGTACAGCAGTATTTTTCATTATAAACTACATGCAACATTCTTAATAGTTGTTTGGTTTTGTGAGTTTTTGTCACTGTCTCATTCCAAGTTTTTCTACAGCTATGTGAACAATTGATTTATTGTTATTGTAGTCTCTGGTGCTGGCACCAAATCAAAATTAACATGGAGAAAAAGGTTTGGGTCAAACCCATTTGTATTTCTCTAACATGCAAGGGGATCAAAGAAGAAAACACAACTGTTTTACTGAGTTTGAAACAAACTCTTCCATTTTTCAGGCAATGTTACTGACAGCAGGAAGCCCTCTCAGGGACACTCTTTTTGTGAGATCAGTTATTGATTTCGGTGGTTTGAAGATGCTTTGGTCCTACCACCCTCCCTGACTAATTTGGTTTGGAATTCAAAGGGCTCCTGCTTGGGCATAGGAAAATTCCTATGCCCTTGGGATATACTCAAGAGATCACTCAAAGGGGAATTGCTTCCCCTCCAGAGAAGAGGCTCTACTCCCTGCAGGCACCACCCCCAGTGTGCCTGTGGCTTCACGGGCAGAGTTCCTTGAAGGATTCAAGACTTGGGTTACATTCAGTTCCTGAACAGTACAAATGAGGACATTTTACTCGAGTCTCCAGTATTCTGTCATGGTTACACAGCATGCAGGGGTTGATGTTTTATTTTGCTGATTTTGTAGAATAATCCAGAGCATCTAAATTGGGAACTGAAATAACTGTCTGATCTGTTAGGAATGTATCTAGTGCCTAGTCCATCTACTGACTAATACACAGGGAACCCAGACTCATCTGGTAGGCATCCTAAGTTAGCTGGGTTTGGATCCGTACACCCCTAAAATATCCCTTTGTGAATCGAACAGGAATGAGCTGCACCATCTTGAAGTGCTAAAACAACATATTTGAATAATTAAACATTATTGCTTTGTTTACTCTCGAATATTTTCATAGGCAAATAATATTCCCTGAATTCACAAATAGTTTCAGGATCAAAGAAATGCATTTTATAGAAATCAACCATGTGCAAAAGTAAATAAAATTTTTAAAGTAAATGCAGCTTCAGTTTTTCCTGCTTCCATATTGCTAGCCTGAACAGAAGCAAACCTCCCTCCCTCCTGCTATTCATCGACAATTCTCTCTCTAACAGGGTAGAGTTTGGAATGAAGAGTGCCTTCTGCCTGTGTGGTTACTCCCTGCTTTGCTCCCCAGGTGCCACCACATGATAGGGCTCTATTCGTTGTACAGACAAAAGATGGCAGGCCATGCAGAATTAAATATAAAGCTTGAAAAAGAACAGTTTGAAAAATTTTGTCGTTCTTAAACCAAATTACTTTCAAAGAACTTCTAAAGTGTTAGATTTGCACTTCATTGAAGAGCATGCAGCTTCTCTAACATTTTATTACAGAGAAGCCAACCCATTTTGCCCCCTGACCTCTCACTCTCCAGCCACAGTTTGTGCAGCTAGCTGTTTACTTTGTATGTGCTGCAATTCCAGACTGCCCTGGCTCAGGCTGTTCACAGACACAACCCTCCTGTGCTCCCCTGGGTGCAGCTGGACTGTGCACACACACGTACTCACAGGGAGTTTCTCTTTCGGGCTGTTTTTTTTCCTTTCAGTAAAGGTTCTGCAGACTAGAGGTATGTCTTTCCTTTTTGCATATGGAAATACTTAATGCTGTGTTTCTTACTGATAGAAAATGAAAGGGAAAAATTAGAACTCAGTGAACACATTTTTGGACTCATGGACTTGATTACCACTGCTATTGATGGTAATAGCCCTATCCATGAGAACAGTCCTACATGAGGAGAATTCGTTCACAGGGAAGGAATTTTAGAGCTTTCATGTGTTCCTGCAGGCTATGGATTCTTACCCTGTTCTCGTGAAGAGGGAGCAGTGACCATTCTGTCTTGTATGTACAACAGGGTACAAACCAAACTGTCTTTTGGGGATAGGAGAGCATAGTAATATTCTGGATAAGTCTAAGAAATAGGAAGTTACACAAATAAATTAGGTTCCAATTCTGATCTCATACTCTGGTGTAAATTAGTTATTTCATCAGAGCTGACCAATGCAGAAACTGATGCTTAACTCTTTCTAACTGCAGAGAGAATTAATTCACCCCTTCTCCTCAGCATCATCAGTAATTTCCAACCTCTATTTACAGGAACATAGGGCAATTAAAATTCATGTCTAAACACACCATGTCTCTACTTATCCAGTATTTGCACATGTACAATTTGTAAGTCTTAGGGTACAGTTACCAGTAGCCAGGTGAGTTGCAAGGAGCATCGTGCTTTTGGATATTCTGTAAGTGCTCAAGGTATCATGCTTAGCTCAGGGGACAGTACTGGAGATACACAACATGCTAGTATTGACTAATCTAAAACCACACAATTTTCCTCCTTATTGTCATAGCAAGCTATGATGATGCCTTCTGCAGCTAGAAGCATACAAAGACAGTAGTAAGACATAAGCAGCACGTCCCAAAGAATCCTACAGTTAGGTGTAAACATTCATAATTAGGTATATTTGGAATTACCAAACCTTTATTAAACAGGCATTGGTCACCACTTGCTTTGGATCTACTATGTCCACCAAAGGCTCCTTCATGGCAACATCCCTAATACAGGTCATGTCAAAGCCGTACACATTCTCCCACCCTGTCAATGCAAATGGATGTGTCAAAGATTAGCAGTAATAATAAAACTATATCTTGTTTCTCAAAGCATCTCTTATTGGAAAGAATTTCTACCATCCCCTAACTTTTGCTCTCCTGTTTAGCTCTTTGCTCCCTGCCCCAGCTGTTTATGTCATCTTTGCTATTTTACAGACAATGCAGTTGTGGCAAAATAACCCCTCAATGTACACCTTTGAACAAGTGGCCATTGCGCTTTACGTTGGGTTTTTTGTCCCAAAAACTGTGTTACATGAGATTTGTTGATGACTTTCATGGCTTTAGCTATCTGAACATGTTGTGCCAAATCATATACTATGTCAGGACACTTGGGAATAGCTGCTAAGGTTACTCCACCCTTTCCTGTCCCTTCTGGTTAATATTTCCTTTTTTTATAGACTGCTCTTTTCCTTAAGGAGTCTTAGTTCCGGCAAGTGAATTACTGGCAGCAGTAGAATTACAAGGGTGTTTCAATATCTGGGGCATCCAAGTTTTAATCTGCATGTACATCATGACAAAAAAGCAAAACGTCCACCTTCTACAAGATTTAAAAGCCATGCTGATCTTCCATATTTGAGCTTGTCTTCTGATTGTTCCAATAAAAGCTTCTTATCTTGCTGAGGTTTTATTTTCTTGAGCAAAATGAAAACATGGAAACATAAGCTAGCTTTGCTTTTAAGATTGGTTAACAAAATGAAAAAAAAAAACCTTCAAAGTGAAATCTTAATCTTATGAATTGTATTAAGGTCCACTTAATCCTCCATCTGAAAGTCTAAAGTGAATACTATGAACTTTAAAATAATGAACACAAGCAAGGTAAACTGGTAAACAGCAGCAGTAGGCATGTTTGAAATGTCTTTCTTTTTTCCACAGCATAGCATTTGAGCTACTGATGTTCTCAGAGGACTGTGACTGGAAATGTAGTGTGAGCAAAAAATCTGCAGATTTTGAAATTGCATATACATAGGGGTATAAAAAGTGAGGGAGGAAGTGAAATAGGGGAAATCAGAAATGAAAGTGTCTTACAGAAAAATATTTTAGAGGAGAAAAAGTGTCCCAAACATTTATTTTTATTTATGAAAAAATAACTGAGTTGAAGACAGATGTATTGATTATGAGAAAACAAAAAAGGCTTAAGGCTTAGAAAGGAAGGGGTTCAAAAGCAAAGGTGAAAGAATGCATAAGGGAGGGTTTTTTTGCCAAAAGGGCTTTAATTCCTTTGCAGAATGGATGCCTCATATCCTTTTGAATCTGTAAATTTTGTAAGGAATTTAGCTGTCAAGGGCATCCCACAAATGAGGAGAAAAATCTAGGTTGCACATGAGGAGTAGATATAAACTCTCCCCAGCACCTGCACAGACTTCTCATCACTGCCTCACTGCTGGGCCTGCTCAGGACCCAAACCAGCAGTTCTCTATATTGGCACTGAACTTAAACACAGAAACACCAGAATTCTTTTCTGGGAACTGCAAGGCAGGGAGTGAGGAATTAGGCATTTTCATTTAAAGGTTGACAGAACCCAGAACCCAGTAATTTTACCCAAGCCTTTGCATATGGCCTTAGTGAATGAAATTGTTTAGGAATTTTGTGATTTTTTTCCCCCCAATGGAAAATGCCTTTAAGTGAAATTGAGCAGCTCTAGAAAAATAGAGAAAGAAAAAATTAAAATAAGAGTGAAATAAAGTAGAGATTATTCATTTCATCAGAACTATTATGAAGAAATAAAACCAAACTTGGATGACCTGGGGAAGAAGTTGAATGTGAACCAGAGTATGACCTTGTGGTGATGGAAGTGAACCACATGCTGAGATAGGAGGAGCTTCCAAAACTGGGTTTGTTTAGCCTGGAACAGCAAAGGCCAGTGGTGAGATCTGACTGCTGTCTGCTGCAGACACCAAGTCAGTCAGATTCCCTCCAGGTGACAAGGGACAATGAGGTCAAGTGTCAGCAAGAAGAATTCTGACTGGATATTCAGAAACACATTTACTCCTGAGGGAGCTTCAGGATTTGAACAAGTGCCCAGAGAAGCTACGAAGTCCCCAAGCCTTGACTGCAGGGCTGAGCCCTGAATGACCTGCTCCAACTGTGAAATCTGGCTTGCCCTGGGCAGGAGCTGGACTACATGGCCTGCAGAGGTCACCAACAGCACCAGCTATTCAATGAAACTTCCATGACAAAAGCCATTTTAAATGTAAAGGAAAAGTCAATTTTATGCATCTGTGAAGTAAAAAAAGTTTAGAACTTTTTTCATATCAAAGTAAAACGGAAATTTCTGATTGTTAATTTTTAAATTAAAATTCTCACATCAAGGGTTTTAAAAAGTTAAAAAATAATTACAAGGTTTTTTTCTTCTTGACAAGCTTAGTAGTGAGGTTTTTTTTCTAGGCTTATTTATTAAAATTTACAATTCATTTGCATCTTATTAATTTTTCTGGTTTTGTTATTTTAAAAACAAAAACCAGCACTTGGATGGCAAAAGAATATTATCAGTTTTAATGGCAATTATGTGGGATGATATATTTATCAAAACAACAACAGAACCTAAATCTCCCAAAATCCACATTTTAAAACAGAGGTAGAAGTATCGATATAACTCTAAGCAAGGTCTACATCAATCTATTCATGCATTTTAAACTACTGCAAGTCTCCTGAATTTATTACCAGACTAGTTTTCTCAGTGTTCATGTTTATATTGGAATTCTAGCCTGGGCAACATAGTTTCTTGGCTTTCACAAAACTTTGCCAGTAAAAAGATTACAGTAGGTGGCTATAGAGCAAATATTTTAGTGAAACAAGCATAGAGAAGTGCTGCTGTTACTCACAGTGAATTTTGAAGTCCTTGTACTGTCTGTCTTCGATTGCTACCACGTACAAAGCAGCTCGGTCTGGAAACATTAGCCCTCCAGGTTTCTGTTGATGAATTGTGGGGAAATGGATCTCGTAATCTATTCACCTGACAAAGACATCACATTTTGAACTGCACATACAAAAACCAGACAAGCACCCCCTGCATGCCTTTATTGTTTTCCTTCAAATTGTCACATCAGCTCTAATCTCAGCAACTCTTGTAGCCTGTAGCCATGTCATTAGAAAGTGTCTATGTGAATTTCACCAGCAGTTAATCAAAAGCAAAGCTCCTTCACTGAGATTCCCTTTGTTAATCTGTTTCTTAAAGCCTAGAAAATGGTGCTTGGAGATGTAACGGTGACTTGTTATGGTGACAGTGGGAGAGGGAAGGCTTGTACAGTCAGAAAATAAATGATGATTGCTCCAGCAAAGAGTAGGACATGCAGAGCACCTACCAGCCACTTGTCTCGTGCGAAGATGACTGTGTTTAACATTGACTCATAGAACAGACAATAACCCATCCACTCGCTGATGATGATGTCTACTTTATCCACAGGTAATTCAACTTCTTCGACTTTACCTTTAAATATTGTAATTACTGAAAAAAGAATCCAAAGAAATATGTTTCACATAATAAAACAACTGATTAAGTTCCTTGCCAGTGAGTGTCAGGCAAACCTTCTCAATGGGATTCTCCTCCTGAATGCCTGTAGATAAGTGATCACTCCATGCAGCTCAACAGATTTTACACTATTTTAAAACTACTTGCAAGAACTATAATAAACAGACGCTTTAGTAGCAGTATAGAAGAGAAAAACCAATAAACACAAGCTCCAAGCCAAATAAAACCTATATATAAAAAAAAAAACCACAACAGTAAAACTGACCTTACCTGGTTACCTGCATGATCTCATTTTGCATGCCCCTTGGAATTTTGAAGATTTCTAGATCATTGACCAAGTAATGCAAAGAATTCACTTAGACTCCTGTAAACATCCCTGTAGAGTTACACATACTTGACCTCATCACTGAGATTTTAGAGAATTATGGAACTAGTGTCTAATTCTCACCTGCTTTTCAAACATATTATGCTAGCTTCACAATAAGCAAACTAAGGCTTATTTCCTTCATGAATTCTAGGGAGCTGGTTCAACTAAGAAAGTCAGATCTAGCCTGACAGTGATAACAAGCTAATTCCTAAAAAGCTGTCCCTACAATACAGAGCTGATAAGTGGGCCTTAAGATAGAGGAAGTCATCCTTGAGGTTGACCCAGACAACTAGCCCTAAGGTGTAATTCTTTAAGGGCATCCTGATACCAAAAGAAACTGTTGGTCCTCCAAGGATAGGAAAGGAATGTCCTGTAGATATGAAGCAGCTGCCAGCATATGCTCCATCACTACATATGGTGAAGGAGGAACTGGAGCTCAACCAAAAGACACGAGTACGAGACCCTGAGACCAGCAGGGATGCCCCGGAGACCACTGACCCAAAGTAATGAGCACGGGAGACTGGGAGGAGAGCACCTGACTGAGCTCCTGCCTGCTCCACACAACTTTACTTTTACTGAATCTTCCAGTATCAGCAGTGCACAAATAAGAATGTTTGTTTGTACAAACACAGTTCTCTCATGAAAAATAATTTTTCATTCTTTTGTTTCATGACTGAATCTTTCATAACACACTGGCATTCTCACTCTGAATCTTCTACCTTTAGACTTGTATAATTTTCCACAGTTACCTGAAGTGCCTGCTGGAAAACATTGCTGTCAGGTATTCTGTCACCAAATTAGTTTCAAGGAAATTAAAAAGGTTGCTAGAAGTTTGATGTAGTAGAATATCAGGTCCTCAGAGACAGTATTACAATACATCACACTACTTGTAATACTATACACTAGTTAGAGAAGACTGGGTATGCACTGCAGAAGTAAATCAACAAGCATTTAATAGAATTAGTTGATACTAGAACAGATACTTTGCTTAAAGGAAAATTAAATGCTGGTCCATATTTAAGTCAGTTGTAACAATCTTGTTTTAGGAGCTTTACAGAATTCACTAGTCATTCTTGCTTTTTTAAAAAAATATACATCCTACCTAAAAATGTATTCTGAATTCTTTAAACAAATAACTTTTAGCTTGGGTTTGTCTGCTGTTTTATTGTTTTTTGCAGTGAGTAAAGTCTCACAGTTCTGGATTCTTCCTTGACAAGGTAGTTGATACACTTGAAACACGGGAATAAAGTCAATAGGGAATATTTTACTTTCCATTACTAATTGATAAGATTACTGTATTAATAAACAGCAATTTTTAATGATGGTTATTTTTATTGATGGAAGTGACCAACATTCAGTTTGAGGAAGATGAAGATAGCTACGCTCATTTAGCTAGAACTAGGTTAGCTAGTTAGTCCAGTGATTTTTAGAACTGAGCTCAGAGAAAATGAGGTTTTCTTTTTCCAAAATACATGCAGTACTAGTATTAACTAACGAGATGTGGCCACTTTATTTGCACAGCAGTCTTTTAATCCAGACTTGCCCCCTGAGAGTTTGGAACACTGTAATTCAGACTGGTAACAAAGATCTGCTGTTAAGAGTAACCTGACTGGGAAAGAGCAGAGTTCTCTTATCCCTCTCATTCTTTAATCTCCTTCCTTTCACAGCTAATAGCTCCAGCCACTCATTCTCTTTAGTTCTCTTTTCTTCTAAGAACTTTCACTGCCATAATTTTTCTGGAGTGAATTTCAGCACTGTTGACAGCTGCTGGACCAACACGCCTGCAATTGAAGCATTCTGTTTGTATCTCAAACAGTGACAGTGTAACCAGCAGCAGCAGCAGCAGCAGCACTACCCATCTCCCTTCACTCTAATGAAACAGCTTCATAAGGCATCACTGAGGGGAGAGACTGCTGTCCCCAGCTTACTGTATCTGTTCTGCAAACAGTGGGGCTTCTCTTGGATCAGCCCCTTTTTATGACTGTATTTCTTTAGACAATTAGAAGGGGAAAAAGAAAGATTTCCATGAGGAACAAGATCCTTTGGTTCAGTACCTGGTTGCATTAAAAGAAAAGTGGATGTACTGTAAAGCATGTAACTGTAAATGTTAGTTCAGTTACTATAGAATCATAGAATCCTTTAGGTTGGAAGAGACCTCTAAGATCATCAAGTCCAACCATCAAGCCACGTTATGTGATTTGTTTATAGTGAAGCCCAAACTGCAGATGGACAGGCTGCTGAACAAGGCAGCTCTCCTGCCAAAGGGCAGGGGTCTCTACTTCTTCCTCCAGCGTTGCCAAGGACTTGCTTGTGGGAAAAGCAGGAGGAGGAAGCAGAGATAAACACCCTCTGCAGCCTCTGGAGCATGATGAGTCCTTCTCACTCACTCTGATAACACACAGCTCCTGTTGCTGGCAATGCACTGGTCTGTGGTATGCTGTCTGTGAAAGGCCTTTCTGGGAATATACAGGCTCTGCACCAAAGGTGCAGGATAACCAAACTGAGGTCAGCACCTCACTGCTTCAATGCCTTACCCCTGCTGTGGAGGAGAGTGTTTTGTGGTCCTCTGCTTCCTTCTTTTTCTGAACCAGAAGCTGCACACACTGGATGGCCTCACATCCTACGTCACTGCTGTTCTATTCACACCACACGACTCAAATACACACGCTGTACAAAAGATTCTTCTTCCAAAACAGCTCTGTGGTAGTCAGAAGCTGCTAGTGACAGCAATAAAAATTACAGCAGATCTAAACCAGAACAGAAATCTATTCTTGTGCATATGCTGGCAGAGCACTAGCACAGCCAGCTAAAAGTAGGGGCAAATAATAGTCTGGCCAGCTATGACCTGTGCTGCTCTGCAGCAGAGGCAAGCTCCTCACAAAGCACTGTTAAAGAAGGAATGACTCACAGCCTCACTTTAAAAAGCCTGATTTTTCAGGTTGTTTCAAACTTATCTTGTGTGCAGTGATTTTGAGGAGGACTGAAGACATGAAACAGAGCTTGCTGGAGATTATTTCTTGTTAAGAATTTTCATTAGGTTGGGGTATTTTTAGTTTTTAGGGGTTTTTGGTTGGTTTGTTGGGTTGGTTTTATTTTGTTTTGTTTTGTTTTTTAACTGAAGTGTTTCCACAGTCCTGGAAATGTCAATGGTCTTAAAGAAAAAAAAAAATTCTATGATACTGTTGTTCTGAGAACTGAACATTTTAGTTTGTGTGAATGTCTGTCTATGTTTTTTTTAAAAAAAAATATTTTTAAAAGTTGGAAATCAGAAGAAGCTCTTAGTGAAAAATCTGTATTGCTATGGAATATTTTTTGCTTTGAACCTTCTTTCAGTTTGAATGGAAAATGTGTGGGTGTATTGATTCTATTTAAGAGATGAGGCAGAATTCAAATGGCTGAAAAATTTTGGGAAGTTCAGCTCTAAAACAAGCCTTCTGTCTGCTTTGCTAAATCAAATTGCCTGCTGAGGAGTCCTATTTGCTTCTGTTGTCTTGAGCCTAGAACTATCTATAGAAGTAACTTCTCCCATTAGGAACTGTTGTAGTGCCTAGAATGAGGTGCTTAGTTTTGTTTTCACATAAGTAATCTATGCAAACCTACTATTTAGATATAAACCACACAACATATATTAATCAGAAAAAGCAAAAGAGTTATCTTTTCCTTCTCCTGAAGAGAATATTTTTATATCTGCCTTACTGTTGTCCAAGTGATTGGCCTTGATAATTTTCTCCGAGTAGTCAGATATACTTGAGCATTCAATCTATGAAAAAAAGAAAAGAAGAAAAGCAAGGAGAAGAGTGTTAGAGAGCTCAGCTGTATGAATAAAACAAAATCTACTGAAGGTAGCAAAGACTCTGCAGAACATGCAACCACTGTCAGAGTAAATCAAACCTGTGTTGGCAGGATCATGGTCAATGATATCTTAATTTTTAAACTCCAGTCTGTGCTTGAGTTAAAGTGGTTTATATAGGTAAGATTTTTTAAAAAACTTTTGAAGTGTGGAAAAAAGAGGTCCTAACAACAAAATGACATCATTTATTATTTGTATTGTTTAATTTACTCCTGCTACTGCAGAATGTCACCTTCTTCCCCCCCCAGAACCAATCTGCTGAAGGGAATGAATTAGCATGGTGCTACATTTCCTCACGCATTTTAAAACACAGCTTTAAAACAAACTTTGTGAATAAGGTTAAAATTCAAACTGATGCCCATACAGATCTGTGTCAAGAAGCAATTGCTTTTCTCTGTGAAAACATGGTCATCTTTGGCAACGTGTGCTATCCAGCCAGAACCAGCCATCTCCCACAGCAGACACAGCTGGCAGCACTGCAATCACAGAGCCATCCAGAGCTGTGCATCTTCTCCTGTGACCACTTCTGGGCTTTTATTAGGCAAGTAATTACAAAATGCTTCTAGTTTTAGATTTGCCCCCAAATTTGTTAAAATCTGAGTTCTAGCATAAAAGCCCAAGTCTGCAATGACATTTGATATCTGGTAGAGAAATTCTGCATTCCATTAATCTCCCTTTGAAAATCATGAAGGCGAAATTTGCTGGTAGTCACCAAATCAGTTCCAAATTTACCTCTTCCAAATTTGACTGCCAACAATACTTTGTATAATCCTTGTCTCTCCAGCTCCCCTATGGGAACGTCAAGGAGGATGACATGACCTCTAGTGAGCTGCTTTGTACGTCCAGTGAAGGCCATTTCACCTCTGAACACCAGACCGTGCCTGACCTCTGTGGTGGCACTCATGGATGGCAGGAGAGTGGGTGGAAGGACACACAAATCCACTATTCTTTTTATATAGCCCACGAAACAACTAGACATACCAGCAGTCATCCTACCAATGCCTGTCCCCATGGGAACAGCAGCATTAGTTCTGCTTCGCTTGCCTGGGGATATAAACTGCTCCTTAAGATGTCTGACTCAGTGGCCTGAATCTAAACCAAAACTGGCTTGTAGAAGGGAGCACCAGAGTGCCAGTCCAGAGAGTCCAAGGCAGAAATCCCGTGGGGAGAACTCCATCCTTTCTCTCTGGCTTCTTCTTCCTTTAAAGTATAGACTAGATGTCTGTGCTTACAGCCATTATAACATACTCAGTTTTCCTATTTGTATTCACATCTGCCTGGCATTTTAAATTCCACTGCCCGTTCTTTCTGCTTGTTTTGGAGGACTTCTAAATAAAGCAAGGGTGTGTAGGTGTTTGGAGTTTGCTTTCCAACCTTTTTAAAGAAAAAGATGCAAAGAAATAAAAATTTCTATTTCATGAATGACTAGAAATTTAAAAAAAATCAGCTTCACTCTCAAAGCAACAAAATGATAAAAAACCACTCAGTGTTCCAGGAAGAAATATATTTCAGGAAATAAACTTACTTTCTGGTGGCTAGAGCTGGTTGTCTCTATTTTGACTTGGACACTATACTGTGGGACAATTTCATTTTAAAAAGCAATTCATTTCAGAAAAAGACAACGGTGAATTTGTGAAGAAATAGGAAAAAAAAAATCTGTACTGTCAAGTTTTTCCCCAGTAATCCTTCAAGTCAGCGACCTGCTCCAATCTGTCCAACTTCCCAAAGCACTGTATTTTACAAAAACTGTGCTTGAATAAAATACGTTTGTACCTCAGTTTACAATCATAGAATGGTTTGGGTTGGAAGGGACCTTTAGAGACCATCTAGTCCAACCCCCCTGCCACAGACAGGGACACCTCCCACTAGATCAGGTTGCTCAAAGCTCTGTTCAACCTGACCTTAAGTACCTCCAATGACAGGGCATCCACAACTCCTGGACAACCTGTTCCAGTGTCTCATCACCCTCACGGTAAACAATTTGCTGCTTATATCCAATCTAAATCTACTCTTTCTGTTTAAAACTATTGCCCCTTATCCTATCACTCCAGGCCCTGGTCAAAAGTCTCTCTCCACCTTTCTTGTAAGCACCCTTTATCTATTGAAAGACCACAATAAGGTCTCCCTGCAGCCTTCTCTTCTCTAGGCTACTAGAGAACCAGCCCAGCTCTCAGAGCCTCTGTTCACACAGACGTGCTCCATCCTCCTGGCCAGACTTCCCCAAACCCAGCTCAGGACACCAGCTGGCTTCCTGGCCCGCAAGCACACGCTGCTGCTCACACCCAGCTCTGCCCACCAGGTCCTGCTCTGCAGGGCTGCTCTCAAGCCCTCCGTTCACACTGACATTGGGAATTGCCCTCACCTTGCACTTGGCCTCATTGAACTTGATGAGGTTCACACTGGTTCACTTCTCAAGCCTGTGGATCCCTCTGGAGAGCATCCTTTCCCCAGCCACATCAGCTGCACCACTCAGCTCTGTGTCTCTGCAGACTTGCTGGGGGTGAACTCGATCTCACTCTCTAAGCCATCAATGGCCACATGAGATAGCAGTGGTCGCAGTATGGAGCCTTGAGGGACCCTTGAGTTTCCTCAGCTGTATCCTGTTCTGTGTTTATATTCATCTCTACTTTCATTTTATTTCTCAGGCTTCAGTCTAATGCCACAAATGTCTCCATTTTTACCTGGCTCTTTTCTGAAGCAGTCACCACATGCCCATATTTTCTTTTCCCCCAGACTGTGTCCTTATCACTGCACCTTTTCATCCAAATCAGCTAACATCTGACACGTGCCTTTATTTTATGTGTCTGACTCCTTCTCTACCCTGCCTTATTTGTCTGAAAAATACCACAGAATTCAGGTAGTTCTACTGCAGTCATTGTGCTGCATTTTGTATGACTAAATGCACCAGATGAACAAAGGTTTCAAGGGATAACTGAATGTATTTTTCTGTCCCTCATTCACCCCCCTCAAGCACCAACAGCCACATGCCAATCCAATCTCTACATGTCTTACAGTAGCTCCCCAGGTAGATGAACATCATGGCATGATCCTCCAACAGGGGTTAGGGATCAGAGCACATGAAGAAAGAACAACAGAGTGGAGTGGTTCTGTTCAGCTTGTAGAAGAGAACCCCCTTATCCAACAGCTATCTTTAACTGTCTAAAAAGGACTTGCAGACAAAACGAAGTCAAACTCTCCTCTGAAGTGCACAAAAGCTATTGGCTGTGGCAAAGGAAATTCCTGTGGATGGTAGCACTGGAACAGGTGTTGAGAGATGATTTAGAGTCTTCATCCTTGGAGGTTTTCCAGATTGGACTGGACACGGCTTGAACTACCTGATACAGCTTTAAAAGTAAGTCTGCTTTGAGCAGGAGGTTGGATTAGATACTTCCAGAGGTCTTCTAAACTAGATCTTTCTATGAGTCAGTAATTCTGATTTACATCTCCTGAAGACCTAGAGATGATTCTAGCAGTTGGCTGAGGTAGTAGCAAGGATTAAGTTCCAACAGTGAGTAAGAAGGAATAAGAAGAACCAGACAAGGTAGTGACAAGGTATTATTTGAATCTGAAGAAAGGAAAGAATGTGAAAGAGGAGAGTGATTTTAGTGGCACTGTAGTCTGAAAACCAACACTCTGAATCTGTCAACAGGTTCCCACATCACACTGTTTGAAAAAATCACATCTAACTGTAGACAAGAAACTGAAACCTCAGTTCTATGTAATAATTCATGGCAAATGTTTGCTTTTTAAAAGGAACACTCACTTGTTGGCACTCTTTGCCAATAGGACCATAAAATCTGAATTTGACTGTAAGATTGCCACTGTCATATCCCTGAAACATCTGCTTTCCAACAGACACAGCTCTGCAGCTTGCTTTGTGACAGGGTTTGTGGTGAGGTAATTCACCTGGCAAGGAGGTTGAAGCTCTCAGGCCATGGCAGAGGAGTTTCACACCTAAGTGAGTTCCTTTGAGAGCTACACCTCCCAGCTTCAGTACTGAACACTCCATGAGTAAGCTCACACTGATGTGCCACTGAGCTTTATAAATGTCTAAAGTGCAGCCTGAACTGTAAAGAAGTACAAAGACAAAAAAAAACCAACAAACTTGTGGAAAAGTATTTCATTTTCTTTTACTAGGTAAATATTCTGCCAGTGAACAGGCTTACTGTAGAACCAGATAAGCACCAATGCCAGCACAAGAGAGGGAGAAAGACCATATGGCCAGGGATCTGGGAGACAGGAAGGTGGGAGCACAGCATCACACTTAGTACATGCTTCTGCGTTTGCAGCACTGCAACATCTTTGTGCAAGACTTGCACTCCTGCCCCAGAGAAGGCCACGGGTTTACTCTCCTTGAGGCTCCAAACTGGTAAACTCTGTATCTGGTTTACAAGAAATACATCCTCTCTGCCAATTCTTTATATTAAGCCTCACGCTTAAACTCAAAAATTTTTGCCAGCACCTTCTGATTTCAGCTATCTATACATCCATGCTCTAGTCTGATAGTCAGGTGAGGCACTCAGAATTAATATCAGATTTTGAAGATATACCCCTGAGAACTGAACAGGAGCTCTTGCATTTCTTGCATCGTTACCAGCAATAGAGATGCAGAGTTCAGATACTCAGTGACAGCGTGGCCTCAAATGCACAGATGTAGCCAACTAAGTTTTAGTAAAGAATTTTGTCAAAGGAGTACACAAAGAAACAAAACCTAGTTGCCCTTTTCTATGATCTGTTTGCCCTGCAGACACAAGTCCAAACCAAAAGTAAATTGTATTTGCCACTTTAGAGTCAGTACAAATAACTTAATATACTTAGGAAGCAAATCTATGCTCTAATGACTTCCCTGCAGAGAACTTCACACTCATGCTCCTAAGGTTCAAAGTATTTAATGTAATCATACCCTTCTGCCTCTGAAAAGCATTACTGTAGGCACAGAAACATGCACATGCTTTCATGCTTGATTCACTGAGTTGTAATGTACAGGGAAAAGTGTGTTTTAGAAATTTGTTTCTAAGACTGGGAAGTTGCAAAACTTAAGAACTAAAAAAAAGCAAGACATTCCTTTTGACACCTCTGAGTAAGGAGCAAGTTCATTTAACAATTTTTTTTTTCAGCCAAGAAAAAATGCAGATGTCTACCAGATCAAAGACTCCACACAGAAAAGACATTACACCTCAGTTTGGAAAAGGCACACTACCACAAGTCATAGAAAGTAACAGAACCCCACTGAAGTCACTGTAAATCAAGCCATGCAAGAGCTTGAAAAGAATAATTTCAAACCAAGACAAGTAAGAAAAGGTAATTTACCAATCCAAATTCTCGGGCAAAATGAACAAACTCACTCAAAATATGAGAGGAAGTCTTCTTACCCCATAAACCTTCTTGGCTCCAGCCTTTGCAGCAAACATGGAGAGGATTCCCGTGCCACTTCCAACGTCAAGGACAATCTTGTCTTTAAAAACATGTTTGTTGTGATACATTGAGTTTCTATATGTTAACGTGCGCACTTCATCCTTTAACATTTCCTGGAATAAAAAAAAAAGCATTGTGTTATTATTGGAAATGCTTATATGCATTCAACACTGCTGCTGAATGCATTCTTACTATAATTAAACCATTACTAACAACACAGCTCAAAGAGTTTTTCAAGTTAACTTGGGGTGCACACATCAAACCAACTATAAAATGCTAGCTACTTAGAACTGAATTATTAAGAAGAATCATGACATCCTTTGTAAAAATTTGTTTCTCTAAATATTACTTCACTGCTACAATTGACAACCAGAATGTAACCTATTCACAGCACTGCTTTGGGCATAGACAGCAGCCACAATACTAAGAAAGTTAACAAAGGCAAATGCAGAGTCCTCCACATGGGGAGAAACAACCTCATGCACCAGTGTAGGTTGGGGACTGGTTCTCTGGAAAGCAGTGTTTTGCCAGAAATTATTTTGGGAACCTGGTGGACAGCAGCTTGATCATGAGCCAGCAGTGTGCCCTTGAGCATTTTGGGCTGCACTAAAAAAAGCATTACCAGTAAATAAAGGGAGGTGGTTCAACACTAGTGAGACCATAGCTGGGGTCCTGTGTCCAGCTCTGGGTTCCCCAGGACAGGAGATGTTGGAGCAGATCCAGTGAAGGCCTGTGAACATGATTAAGGCATTGGAGCATCTGACGTGAGGAAGGACTGAGTGAGCTAGGAAGGAGAGAAGGCTCAGGGCATCCGATCAATGTGTATAAACATCTGGTGAGTGGGGAAGGACAGAGCCCTCCCAATGGTAACGAATTAAAGAACAAGAGGCACAAATGGCATGAACAGGTTTTTCATAGCCTTGTCCAATCAAGTTTTTAAAATGTCCAAGGATGGAGCCTCCATAGCCAGAATATTAAACACCTCCCAGTAACAAGTATTTTTTCCAGTTAATTTTGTGCCAATGACATCATCAAGCTTCTTCAGCCCTGGTGGAAACAGCTCATCAGGCCCCACAGGCTTACGTATGTCTCAATTAAGTGATCCTTCTCTCTTGAGGGCAAGTCTTCCCCACTCTACACTTTGTCACTCATCTTAGGGACCTGGGATTCCTGAAGGCAAGTCTCACAAGTGAAACCAGAACTGAACAAGTATTTTCAACGTCCTTTGTCACCAGATTTGCTGCCTCATTCAGCAACAGTCCCATCCTCTCCTCAGTCTGCACTTTGCTGTTAGCACGTAGGGAAGCCCTGCTCTGTTAACCTTCCCATCCCTTCCCAGATTCATACAGAGATGTAACTTAGCTTTCTTAACCCTGGCCCTGAAATTGCTCCTGGGTCACAGGGCCCTTCTTCTACCTCTTTTATGCTTCTTTTTTGATTTGAATTTTGTCAGGAGCTTCTTGTCTGTCCATGCAGGCCTCCTGCCACTGCTGCCTGACTTCCTGCATGTCCGGATGGACTGTTATTTGAGGTGGTGAGCCTTGAAAATCAGTTTTTCTGAACCCTTCTCTGCAGGACCATTTTCCATGATACTTTTCCAAGCAGATCCCTGAAAAGGGTGAAGACTGCTCTCCTGAAAGCCAGGTTTGTCAATAAGACAAACAGCATCATGCTCTCAGGATCCCAAACTTCACCATCTCATGGTCACTGCAGCCAAGCCTGTCCTGGCCATCACATCCCCAGCTGGTTCATTCTTTTTAGCAAGTATCAGGGAGAGCAGAGCACCACACGCACCACATATATCCCCCCAGCTTCCCATGGGTTCAGATCATCTGTGGCAGGAATTTATCATCACACTCAAAAAATGTCCTGGATTGCTTATGTCCCACTGCCTTTCAGCAGATGTTGGGGTGATTAAAGTATCCCATGGACCAGAAATCAGAATCATGCCTCTTGCAGACTTGATACTTCTTTCAGTTGTGTGAAGAAGAACTCATCTACTTCTTCTTCTTCTTGATTAAGTGGCATTCCAGTCATGTGAGCAACCTCATGACCCCTGTGAGACCGTAGCCAAGCAACTGCACACTAACTTCTAATTCCTACTGTTCATTCCCCAGGCTGGATGTATTCATGCACAAGCACTTCAAAGAGTCTCACTCTGATGCTCATTTTCCAGAAAAGATAGGAATGCTTCCTGCATAATGTTGCCTCTTGGCACTTCCTTTTTGTGTTCTTATACAATGGGGTGGGGCCCTTCTGCTCTGTTTGGTTGACTAAGAGGCTCACACCACATAGAGGTCTGTGGGGCTGGATGGGATCCACCCAAGGGTGCTGAGGGAGCTGGTGGAAGAGCTCACCAAGCCACTTTCCACCATTTATCAGCAGTCTTGGCTAGCTGGGGAAGTCCCAGTGGACTGGGAGTCAGCAAATGTGACATCCATCTACACAAAGGGCTGGAAGGAGGATCTGGGGAACTACAGGCCTGTCAATCTGGCTTCAGCTCCAAAGAAGGTTATGGAGCAGATCATCTTGAGTGCCATCACATGGCACATACAGGACAACCAGGCAATCAGGTCCAGGCAGCACAGACTAGTGAAAGGCAGGTCCTGCTTGCCTCACCTGATGTCCCTCTACGACAATGTGACTCTGTGGATTTTGTCCACCTGGACCTCAGTAAAGCCTTTGACACTGTTTCCCACAGCATTCTCATAAAAAAAAAAATGGCTGCTCATGGCTTAGCTGGGCACATCCTCTGCTGGGTAAAACACTGACTGGATGGCCAGGCCCCAAGAGTGGTGGTGAATGGAGATAAATCCAGTGTTCCCCAGGGCTCAGTATTTGGACCACTCCTGTTTAACATCTTTGCCAATAATCTAGACAAGGGGATAGAGTGCACCCTCATTAAATTTGCAGATGGCACCAAGCTGGGTGGAAGTATTGATCTGCAAGACGTCAGGGAGGCTGCACCATCTGGACAGGCTGTATTGATGGGTCAGTGGTATGAGTTTCAACAAGACCAAGTGCTGGGTCCTGCACTTGGGTCACAACAACCCCAGGCAGTGCTCCCAACTTGGAGTAGAGCAGCTGGAAAGCTGCCCAGCAGAAAAGGACCAGGGGGTATTGGTCAATAGCCAGCTGAATATGAGCCAGCATTGTGCCCAGGTGGCCAACAGCATTCTGGCTTGTATAAGGAACAGTGTGGTCAGCAGGACTAGGGAACTAACTGTCTCCTGCACTCTGCACTGGTGAGGCTGCCCCTTGACTGCTGTGTTCAGTTCTGTACCCCTGAGTGACCCAGCCTGCCATGAGACAGGAGTGAGGGCTAACTTGGTGTGCTTTGGGAGAGGGGTTAAGGTGTCTGGGACCATCAGGTTCCTGTGCTGTCTCTGGGCATGTGGAGACTCACTGAGCTGCCATGCCAATCAGCTGAAGGAAGGAGTCTTCTGAAAATAAGATAGTCCCATTTTGGCTAAGCAAACAAAAGCAAACAGCTGTGACACAGATTTTGAAGGCTATAGTGTCCAATCAAAGACCTTTGCCTAATTAACAGCAAAATAATATTACACTGTTCTTCTGCTGACCACTTGCCCAGTATAGAATAATATCATCAGTAACAGGCAGAGCAGCAGCCAAACTCCTCCCTCTGCTACACATCACACCCCAGAGACCCAAAGCGCCCGACAGCCAGAGGAGGAACAAGCCAAAGCACTCACCCACTGCAGTGGACACGAGGAGGGAGTGAGCTGGCCGAGGAGCCAAGCTGTGGGAGGTGGGAGCCAATCCAGCCCATGAGTGCAGTTACATAGCAGGGACTCAGAGACAGCTTCGTGTTCCAGCCCAGCCGTCGTGGGATCTCCACTCACCATGAAGAGTCAGGGAGCCCTTCCCACAGCCAGAATCCCCACACAGCACAGGCACTGCATAGACCAGTCTCCCAACTCCAAGCAGCATCAGCTCTTACAGAGGTGGCTTCTTCCCCCACCTCCAAGTTACTGTGGGGGCACGTGGTGGGGATCTCCTCATCAGTTCCCACCCAAGGCTGGACAGACCCTGGGTGAAAACCCACCAGGAGGGGCTTTCCTGCCTGGTTGTGAACATCACCCATATGCCAACCCTCATTCAGGGCTGGGGGTTTAACCCCAGCACTGCAAGTGTACACCCCTAAATATGGTAATGAGCCTAATGGAGTACATACTAATCATACATAAATATGTTACTCAACTCTCCACCCAATTCATGCTAAATGTCACCTGGAAGGCAGGGACAGACAGGGTCAGGATACAAAAACATGCCAACAGGAACACCTCTCTTGGCAGGGGGCAGGAAGTCTGCAAGTCCAGCAGAGATGCTTGGCAGGCGGTTCTCCTCTTCCTGCACCCAAGACATGGGCACCTTCTTGGTAAGAACTGCACCTCCCATATATGGTACCCCTTCTCCTGGTACTGCTGTTGTCTATTACACTATGACAGAGGCTTGCACCTCTGGCCGTGTCAAACGTTACCTGGGAATTATGATCTCAAGCTCAATTTTCCTCTTGCAGTCAGTGCATTTATCAATGGCAATTCTGAGCCTATTGTATCTGTCACTTTAGTAAATCAAACCTATCCCTTTTTTTAAACTGCTCAAATCAAGCCCTTAGTGGGGCTCTGAGACAGAACTCTTAAACCTACTTTTTGACTTTGAGAAACTGCTCAGTGTGAGCCCTTGGGGCCCTGGCAGGGAAATGTCACATTCTTACTCTTCATGCAACAAGCGTGCCTAAAGAAGGGCAACAAAGCTGGGGAGGGGTATAGAGCACAGGTCTCATGGGGAGCAGCTGAGGGAACAGGGATTATTTAGCCTGGAGAAAAGGAGACTCAGGGGAGACCTTATTGCTCTCTACAGCTACCTGAAAGGAGGTTGGTAGCAAGGTTGGGGTCTGTTCTCCCAAATAACATATAATAGGACAAGAGGAAATGGCCTCAGGTTGCACCAGGTGGGGTTTAGGTTGGATATTAGGAAAATTTCTTCACAGAAAACGTTGCAAAGCACTAGAACAGACACCCAGGGAAGTGGTTGAGTCACCATCCCTGGAAGTACTTAAAGGACATGTAGATGTGCTGCTGAGGGACACAGTTTAGTGGTAACCTGGCAGTGCTCGGTTAACAGTTGGACTTAGTCTCTTCCAACCTAAAAAATTCTGTGATTCTATGATTATATGAACCTTTTGTTTACCAACTGAGTCCACCACTTTCCCATGTGACTGTAGGTCATCGTCTCTTTCCTCTATTATTCTTAGCTTAAAGGTCTCCTCACCAGGTTGGCCAACCTATTGGCAAAGACACTTTTTGATTGGTTAGTCAGGTGGATTCCAACTCTTCCTAGCAGATCTCAGTCCTCAAAGAGGGTACTGTAGCTATAAAAGCTGAGAACGTGGCATTGACACACTGAACAACCAGTTGTGGACCTGCAGGAGCACTTCTCCTCAAGCGTTTATTTGCACTGTTAGAATTGAGGCAAAAAAACCCATCTCACACACCTTGCTGTTGATAATCATCCTAAGAGCCACGCAGTCACTTTTTACATGTTTCAGGTCTCTTTTGTTTTCATGTGGAGGAGCAGCAGAAGTAATCCAAGGCTGGTCTAAAGGTTGGACAAATGTCAGCAGCATCTCCACAATGCCCCAGATCCAAACACCTAAACAGCAGGTTGGACCAACAGAAGAGGGCCCCTCTGCCCTGCAGGAGAAAGTCTTCCACTACTATCATTTATTGCTTCCTTTCAGTGCTTCTGCATGGTCCAGGGCCAACTGGTTCTGATGTTTCATTGGACAGAACTTCCTGCCCCTCGTCTACAATGAAGGCACTGAACCTATTCTGTAGCTAGAGATCTGCAGGTGGTTCAGGAGCCTTCCTCCTGTTGCCAGAAGTCATAGTTTCCAGCCTTCACCAACAGAGGAGTCTCCACTTCCAAACCTGGTTAAGCACAGATTCCCCCTGGAGACTGTCCCTCCTTTCAATACATTTGAGAATTTAGGCTCTTGCACCTTCAGGATCTTGGAGAAGATCCAGTCACTCCCTTCCTCATGTCCCTGATGTTGCAAAGCCTGCAAACATCCTCTGGAAGCTCCTTTACTTGTTGACACAGATCCTCTACCAGTGCACACCTCCTACAAGCCAAGGAGGAAACCTTCTACTTCCCACCATCACCAAGAGGCTCCAGGTACTCCTTGCACTGCATGAGACAACGATCAGGAGCTCAATATGATTTGAGGTGTCTGATGTGTCTTCTATATTTCTTTTAGGTCTCCTTCCCACTAAATTGTTCCTCTATCTTATCCCATTCTGGGATTGAGAATGCTACACCAGCAAGATGTATTCAGTAGATAGAAATCTTCTTGCCTCAGAACAATTACTGGAGTAGTGGAAATAAATGCTGTTTGTTACGTGGTTTGGGAAAAGTGACACTGATTTCACATCGTTGGCCTTTTTGCATCCTAGTCTTTTAAAACCCCATCCTTGAGGGTCACATGAAAATAAGATATTACTGTCTTCTTTAGAACTGGTCAACAGTCAACTTTTTTTGATGGTAAATGTGGTCCACTATGTATTTTAAATTCTTTCCAAGGGTGTACTTACTGGAGGCTATTGGGGCACATGTTCCCACTAACACAGTGTGTGTGTTCAAGCAACATGCCAGAAATTAATTGGCTTATCCTGCCAGTTCAGCAGCTGTCCCACTGGCACCTGTGCTCGGATATTCAAGAGAGCACAAGACCTAACTTAGCAATAGGGTAGTTTCCCTGTGTGGCTGGGGTAGTTTGCACACTTCACAAATGCACTACACTGATGCACTCATGAAGATCACCAATGTACAGATAGCTAATATGAGCCCTGTGGAGAGCTCACCTAAGGATCTAGGTGGGGCAGAGGGTTTTGAGTGCAGGTCTCCAGAGAAGTGGGTGATATCTTTGGCACTTACCAAATTATGCAGTCTCTGAAGAAGGGCAGCAGAATGTAATAATGACCATCTGGGAGGGGGATAAATAACTAAGAAATTACATTATGATGATGATGGTGATGATGAAGTACTAATTGCCAAAATAAAAATAACTATTACCTCATGAATTCCAAAGTGAGCATAGGAATCAAAGTAATAATCCCTGGATGTCATCTCTTCTGGATTGATGAGTTTTGCCATCTTGCCTCTGCCTGGACAGCTTGGTTGCAATGGGACATGTATGACAGATTGAGCTGGCTTTGGAACAACTGGCTGAGGAGGCTGGGATGGGATGGGGCAAACCTAGGAGAATATGGAATATTGTTAAAGACATCATCAAAAGAAAACATTTCTCTCTACGTCTGGCACAGCGATTTTATTATAACTAGCTGTGAGACAGCAAGATCAAATATAGGGTATCATAACTGAAACTTAGGCTGCCTTCTGTTCCTGGCTCTCTAACTTATTTGCTCTATCTTGGAAAAAATCCCTAACGACTTCTTCCTTGATGTCCCCCCCTCCAAATACCTACATCAGTGCAAAAGTAATGGCGAACTCCTGGTGTTGGCTGAAGTCTCTGACTCCAGATACTGACAACACTTAAGAGCTAGATTTCCTCCTTTAGTGTTTTTTCTGTCAAACTGCCACAGCTTTGTGAAAGGGAAGTTGTAATAAATAAACAGTTCCCCTGCAAACCAGAGTTCATAATCACAGGATTTTGAACACAGTGTTGCCAAGAGGACAGGATTCACAATCAGTTCCTAATTCTAAGATAACGTATCTGGCTGTATTGATGAGGTAGGTCTGAGAATGCTCACAATACCTGAAAGTTCCTGACACTATCTGAAAGTCTACCAGCATGTCCAGAAAGCATTGTAAGGAGCTGTGTGGGATACATCATCCCTTGATTTAGTTTCTTGGTTTGGGGAGATGCAGGAGTTGTGTGCTACCAACACTCCCTGGCCCATCACACTTCACTTCTCCTTGCATACTACATTTCCAATACCAGAATGCTCACACCCCCTTGACTCAGGTTGGACACCTGTAGTATCTGAGATAGAACGTTTCACAGATGTGAGACACAGAACATGATCTGACCCATAAGTATATCTGCATCTTTGATCCTTAACATGAATCAAAATGCTTAAAAATGAGAAAGATGCTACAGCTTCACATATGCACTGTCACCTGCAAATTACAGGTCAACAACTCCATATATTAAGAAGGTCAATCCCACTCAAAATATGTCACTTTCTCTTGTACTTTTTTACTTGCAGATTTAGTAGTTTCCCAGTGGAGACCAGATTTGCCTCTGCCTCTCCTAGATACTTCCATGAAGTGCAATCTATCTTCTACAGCTTCACAGCGCAGAGCATCAATCCCTTGGACTCTCTCTGAATAGCAGCAATTAGCCTAGTTCAGTTTACTTCACTATAATTAAAAAAATGACACATTTTTTTCCCCTTGTTCATCTGAAGATTTAAATGTGTCATCTTTTGATGGTTTCTTTGTTTTATCTGTGAAAAATGAATACTAGCAATCTATGCTCCTGTGACACCTGTGCTATGGGTATCATGACTTTATGCAAAAGGGGGAACAGAAAACTGGGTAGGGGTGCTGATCTTTTCATGCAGCAACATTCCATGACAGGGACCTTAAATCAGCTGCATCATTTCTGTTTTAGGCATATTAACACAACACTGACCTTCCAAATTAAAATTATGTCTTTTTTTGCAGCCTCTGCAATACCAACTTCTGCTGACCACTTGCCCAATATAGGATATTATCATTAATGGGCAGAGCAGCAGCCAAACTCCTCTCTCTGCTCCCATGTCACACACCAGAGGTCCAAAGCACCCAACAGCCACAGGAGGAACAAGCCAAAGCACTCACCCACCACATCCCGTGTGAAGAGGGAGTGAGCTGGCTCAGGAGCCATGCCATGGGAGATGGAATCAGCCAGGCAATGAGTTCAATTACACAGTAGCTTCCCAGAGAGACTCATGATCCTGCTCTGCCATCCTGGGAACTCCACTTGCCATGAAGCCAGGGAACCCTTTCAACAACCAGAACCCTCACACAGCACGCCCAATACATGAACAAATCTCCCAACCCCACTGCAAGCAGAGCCAGCTCTTACAGAGGTGGCTTCCTGCCCCACCTCCAAGTTACTGTGGGGGCACCTGGTGGGGATCTCCTCATCAGTTCCCACCCAAGGCTGGACAGACCCTGGGTGAAAACCAACCAGGAGGGGCTTTCCTGCCTGGCTGTGGGCAGCATCCATGTGCCCACCCTCATTCAGGGCTGGGGGTTTCACCCCAGCACTTCACCACTGCTGTAGCAGTAGGTACACAGTATAGCACTGTAATTCTGAAACTCAAGGTCACATTTTGGCGAGTGGGGCTCAGGAAACTCCTCTGTTACAGATTTGTTGTAGACACTGTGAACAATTTCAGTTAAAAGTAACTCATATCCTATGAGAACAAATACCTGGGAAAAACATATAAACATAGCAGGCAATTACAGAATAAAGAAATGTAATGAAAGGCATTATTTGTATCAGAAGCAATACAGTCTTCAGGTGTACAGCTCCGTGCTTACTAAACTAGTGTGCTGGCTAAACCAGAACCAAGTCAGCTTGCAGGGATACGGTGCACCGGCCGTCGGAGACACCGTGTTTATTCCAGACAAGGTTCCAGCCAGCTGCACTCAGCTCCAGAACATGGGCCACTGCCTGTGCAGATGAAGTTGAAAAGGATGCAGGCAGCTGCCTCAGGACCCGTTCATCGCTGTGCTAAATGTGCAGCCCTCTGTTTTTCCGTCTCCCATTTGCTACTGAAGATAGAGTTGAAGGGTCTGAAGGATCTGAGAAACAGTAATTTTCTGCCACTGTTATGGGACTTAGATCCTGCTGCTCTGTACCATTTCAACACTCAAGTCAAAGGGAATTACAGAAATATTTTCCTACTTTTAAAAACTGAATAAGGTTTCTTTCCTTTTTTCCGTGGCCAAGGTGGGTAGATTTCAGATGCACCAAAGGCACTAGCACAGGAGTGCTTTTTAAAAAGCTTTTAATTCTTAAAAAAGGCAAGATTCATAACCCTCATTCATGTCTCAAAAGCTCACATCTAAACATCTTGACATAGGTGTCTGAAGCACATATAGGCACTTCAGTGACAGACATGAATTCCAGATATATGGAGCACGTGCATCAATGGAAACTGTTGAAACCCTTCTTTCCTGAAAACTGGACCTATGGCACCATGGATTTACGATGCTCTCTGGATATACAACTCCCATAATACAAAAGAGAACTGGGTATTCAGAAGTCATAGGCTGTTCTGAAAATTTGAGCTTTTTAGATATATCCACCTACCTGCAGAGAGGCAAGATGGTGAAACATGCACAACTCCTTTTTAGAAGGTTTGTGATGGCAGCTGAGGTGTGCAGCACAAAAATACACTTTGATGGCAATGTGCATTTCTTGATATTACTATGGAGACAGAGGGCTGGAGGTTAAAAATCCAGTCCTTTGTAAAACTGTTGTTTAAGCTGCAGTGTTTTCTCCTTGACAAATTCTTAGTCATTTATGACATTTTTATGGCATTGAAGAGGTTAACAGTCTCTTTTGTCTGGAAATGCCTACCCTTTCATTAAGAAACTACACTCGTTAAGAACAGAATTATAGCTTAATATGATTCCATTTCAGCATTGTCTTCTTTTTAAACAGTTTTATCGTATCTAAATGTTGATTATACTTATTTCTTGGGCCAGATAGCTTTCTGTGCCAGAACTACTAGAACAGAATATATTTAGCACAATTTTCACTAGTCTGAATTTAGTAATCTACACCTTTAGCATGCAAGAGATTATCACCTGATATGTAGTCACTGTAACAGTTTAAAAAATACGTCTTCTTCCTTCCAGAAATATAAAGGCATAGCCAAATATTAGAGATATTTGGAATACTCTAGCCAAAATTTAGGGTTACTTCTACAACAGCTTCTTGTAAGAAGCTTCTCACTAGGAGAAGAACATGAAGACATGACCCTCTGGAATGAAAAGCTTTTGAAGCTACACATAACAGAATTGAACTGAAATTATAAGAGATGAGATGACAGGATGTAAGGATGGGAGAGAGAGAAGTCTGAGCAGTTCTAGACAATTCTGTGTGCCAGTGCAGGTAACAAAAATGCTCTTAATCCAACCTGCCCTCTTGACTGCTTACTACACATTACAGTGCAGCTTGGGTGCAGGAGCCAAAAACAGGGGACAAGCTGCAGTTATGAATGCTGACCGTTAACTGAAGCAGTGCTCCTTTTTATAAAGATGGTGATTCAGCAACACATGTAGAGTAGGTCCAGTGCAGGTCATCAACAGTCCTAGTTCAGCACAGAACAGAAGGAAACATGAGAGAAGTGTCTTATTATTAACTGAAATTTACTCTTTGCAAAGTGCCTCACAAAGGGATACAAAACATTATTTTAAAAGTGCTGAGACACTTTTCTTTAGGACAAGGTTGCATTCTGATTATCTCTGGCCTGTGATAGACCTAATGTCTATTATTGCTTTAGATTTCATCTCACAGACTTAACTGCAACACTTCCTGGGTTTACAAAATCCCAGCAGGGATTGTTAGCAGGAACAGTAACAGGATGCTTTCGAACAGGACCACTCTGAATTTGTGCCTTGCTAAGGCAAACAGGCTTTTTGGCTGTTGTATGTACAGCAGTCTTTCTCCTGGTTCAGAATCCAGTCTGAAAAGCTGACTTTGGTTTGTAGGTCACAGAGCAGCACAAACTGCAACCAGCAGCCTCTCAAGGCCAGTGGCTCTTGCAGGTGGCAGCTTCTGGTCTCGTTCAGATCTGCAGCTATGTCTGTCACGGTGAGGCCGTAGGTTCCTGCTCTCCACTGGGCCATCCCATCCCTTTCAAGGATTCATAAAAGGAAAACAAAGCAAATTACAAAAAAAAAAAAAATCCTACCTTCTTACTGTTTTAAGCCTCTCCTTTTCTGACTAAAGAAGATGAGAATTTAATTTCATTTCATCATTCTTCATTCCTTTGGTAGAAGCTGATACATTACAGCAGTGAAAACTAGGAAGGTGCCTTAACAAGAGGTCCTCAGCATATCAGTGTTGACTGTGTGAAACTGATATCATCATGGGAATTTAAAATTAAAACCTGAGGTCAGCTGTTAGAGCTAAGAATGTTACTGCCAACCATATGTTACACAATTGGTATTACTTCCCTCAGAACTTGAAGTGCACCTAATACCTAAAATAGCCATTAAAGGCCAGGGAGCACTTAA